GCAGAAAGTCAGTCTCATGTCTCAATGAACATTAGTTTAGAAACTTTGATATCACGTTGATACCAACATGCTTGCTCTTTCACAAGATTAAACTTTTAATAATCCCTCCCATTTAAAGAAAAAAAACCCTCACATTTCTGTTGATTTATTACAGTTAAGTGTCACATCAGCTCTTCACTGAATCCTTCAGTAAGTTCAGTTTCACTTTTCTGAGCACCTATGTGAGATGATTTAATAAAGCCAAGAGAATAAGTTCCCTGCCAAAAGTGTCACCTGTCTGTCAGACTTATACCCTTTAACTTGTGCTGCACTGTATTGTACAGTTTAGGTGGTCTGTTGTCAAAAAAACTAGTCCTGTTACCTATAAGAGACTAGATGGATTCTTTTATCTGCAAGCCACTTCTTTAAATGTTAGTTATATCAGTAACAAGCTACTTTTTACAGACGTTTTACATAATTCACATAAAATTCCGTAAATCCATGTATATTCGGTAGGACAAAAACCGTATCCACAGTACATACTTCAAGAAACTGTTAACTGTTAATTGCACTGTTACGTCTTGGTAGTTTATAAATAAGGGTCGCCAGATGGCAGAACCGACTGACTCCGTGACACACTGAGGATAAACCTGGGGTACAATTAAGTCACTTAAATCACTGTTGAGCGATTCTTATTCTAAGGAGGGAAAACCAAACCAAACCAAACCAAACCCAACCCCCCCAACAAACAAATAAAAACCCACAACCCCCAAAAAAACAAACACCCCCCCAAAAAAAACAAAAAAAAACACCCCCAAAAAATAAAACAAAAAAAACCCACAACAAAACAAACAAACAAAAACAAACAAAAAAAAAAAAAAAAAAAAAGAGGAAAAAAATCCCAAACCAACCAGGCAAACACACCCTGATGCCAAATACTTTAAGAACTGCTGGAAATGAGGTTTAACCCACTACGCCTCTCCTTCGACCCTGCTGGCCGCAGGCGGCTTGTAGGTTGACGGGAGTGAAAAATCACTCCGGAGCCGAGTGAAGCAGGACGCGGAGGGCGGCAGAGACGCCCCTGCAGGGTGGATAGGCAGAGCTGCCGGGCCTCACCTTCCTGCAGGAGGCGGCTGGGCCGCACGGGCGGGACGCGGAACTGCCGCGCGCTCCAGCCGGGCCGCGGCGGCCGCGACACCTCCCGGTCCGACAGCCACGTCACGGCCTCGTAGTTGTCACCGCGCAGCAGAGCGGCCGCCTCGGCGCTGTGCACCGCCACCTCCTCGAAGTGCTGCAGCCCACCCGAGTGGTCGAAGTGGACGTGCGTGGCCACGGCCAGCAGCGGCCGCGGCCCGGCGCCCTCAGCCGGCGCCAGCAGCCCGGAGTCGCGCAGGTAGTCGGGCAGGCTGCGCAACCCTAGCCCCGCGTCGATCACCACGTCCCGCTGCGAGCCCCGCACCAGCCAGATGTTGGCCCGGTTGCCGGACTCGTAGAAGCGCTCCTGGATCCAGAAGATGCCGCCGCCCAGGGGCTTGTGCGCGAACCACTCCAGCGCCGACATGGCCCGCGCGTCGCTCGGCGGCGGCGGAGCGCCCCCAGCGTGCCGGCGGCGGGCGGGGCGGGCGGGGCAGGGCCCGGCCCACTGCGGCAGCGGCGGGCGGAGCGCGGACGGTGAGGAGAGGGGGAGCCCTGAGGGGTTGGGGGGGCTTGGCTGCAGCGGGAGGGGGCGATCGGGTTGATTCCTCTGCCCTGCAGGGGCGGTACGCAGAGGAGGCGGCTGAGACTTGAAACGCCCCGGGCCCTTCAGGGATACCCGACAGGTTGGGGCGGGAGTGGCCGGCGGTCGGGGAGGGGAGAGGGAGCAGGGAAGGGACGGAGAGGAGCCGAGAGGGGTATCCTCACACTGCAGGCGTTAGTGACTGTGGTGACAAAACATCTTCACCCGTTTATCTTCGGGAACGTCAGATTAAAAGAAACCAACCAACCAAACCCCCCCCCCCCAAAAAAAAAAAAAAACACCACACAAAAAAACCCCAACAAAAACAACAACAACAACAAAAACCCAAACAAACAAAGAAACAAACAAACAAAACCACAAAAACTTAGTATCTAAAGTTCAGTCCTTTTTCTGTATATGCTCCTCGCTTCCACTGTTTGCACCTGCTTCTGAAAAGCAAGGGTCTACGATCCGCAAAACGCGATCGGGTGTTTCATTCTGAGGATACCGAGAACCCGTGGGAGTGCTCAGCCTGCTCCCGTCTGCTGCCGTCGCTCCAGCCGCCTCGCAACTGCCAGGGATCCCAATTCCAGAGGCCTTTCCCTCCCCAAGGCTGAGGAGGACCTGCCTTCCCCTGAGTGAGTGCCCGAGAAACTGCATACCTACGTTTGAAGGAGTTTTAAAAGCTTAAATCTGAAAATCTTCTCATTTATACAGTGAATGACATACAAACTACCCATAAATATGAAAATGCCCCCAGGTGCTCCATTAGACATCCCTCTTGGAAGCCAGAGCGCTAGTTGTAACTTTGTCATGCGTAGTGGCTCAGTTGTTCAACTTTACTTTCCCTTCATGATTTGTCCAGTCATCTGTCACTATCAATTTATGTCATCAGTAGATATAAACCTTCTAAGCCAGTATGCTTTAAAAAACCACAAGTTTGGGTAAGAATTTGGAGTTGAAATACTGCTAGTTTTAATTAAACCTTGTTACTTCTCATCAGACTAATGCTCTTTTTCAAGGGAATTTACTGAGAATTAATTTTAAAGCAACATTTTAAAAATAAACCTCTGTATTCACTACATTTAATGTAAAGCATGCCCCTTCTTGGTAGCTCAACATCTCTTAACTTTCATTTTGTTGTGTTGTTCTGTTGTTTGTGTCAAAATGGGGATAATACTTAAATTTATTACTAACAGGATAAGAGCCAAAGAGTGAGAAATAAAACTGTCTTAAAAACACCTTCTCCCCACCCTTCCTTCCTTCCATGTTCTCCCTCCTCCCTCCCTGCAGGGGAATGGAGGTTACGGTCAGTTGTTGTTTCTGCTGCTGCCCAGAGAGAGGTGTCCTTCCCCTGCTCCCATGGGGTCCCTCCTACAGGAGACAGTCCTTGATGGACCTCTCTGGCGTGAGTCCATCCCATGGGCAGCAGTTCTTCCTAAGTTGCTGTCCTGTGGGTCACTCCTCCATGGGGTACAGTCCTTCACAAGTGAGTTATACCGATGTGGGTCTCCCACAGGGGCCACAAGTCCTACCTGGGAAAAAAACCTGCTCCAGTGTGGGCTTGCCACTCCATGGGCTGCAGTTCTCTGGCAGGATCCTGCTCCATCTTGGGCCTCCCACGGGGTCACAGCCTCCTTCATGCATCCAGCATGGGCTCCTCCATGGGTTGCAGGTGGGTCTCTGCACCCCAATAGTTCTCCCTGGGCAGCAGGGGCACAGCTGCCCCACCATGGTCAGCTCTGGCTCCTAGAGCACCTCCTGCCCCTCCTTCTGCACTGACCTTGGTGTCTGCATTGTTGTTCCCATGTTCTCACTCTGCTCTTCCCTGGCTGGAATTCTTTCTGTGCTACAACCTTCTGTTCTTAAATATGTTATCTCAGAGGTGTTACTGTTACTCCTGATTGGCTCGGCCTTGGCCAGCAGCAGGAAGTCCGTCCTGGAGCCGGCTGGCATTGGCTCCAGGGACAGGGGAAGCTTCTGGCAGCTTCTGACAGAAGCCACCCCCGTAGCCCCCCCACTACCAAAACCCAGCCACAGAAACCCACTACACACACCTGGATAATATAATTGCTCAAATTTGGGGCTTGACTGTATCTTTTTCCATCCTTTTTTCAAAGCAGTTTTTTTTTGGTTTGGTTTGGTTTGGGTTGGGTTGGGTTTTTTTACATTCTAGTTAATTACATGTATATCCCTAGTTGTTGCTTTGTTTTCTTTCCTAAAAATTATTTATTTAGGTCTCTCCGCTTAGTTGTAGACAGTATTCCATGCTGCAGGAAATATATAATGTGATTTTGTTTCATCCAAACAGAGCTTATTTCTCTTGAAAATCACATGTAGGAAAAATCTGGCATCACCCTGTTTCTCACTGGCATGCAATAATAAAAAGGACATTGCTTCTGTTTGGGAAGAACTAGTTGTGATGATGCAGGTATAGCAGTAGGTCTGGAACAGATCTGTTCATACTAAGCAAGGTGCAGTACAGTGACTGTGTAGTTGGTGATAAACAGCTTGTGGTATTTCTGGGCTGGGGCCTTGAACTGATCTCTATGCGGCCTTGGGCTGTAAGTAGTAGCACACTGCTCCATCCAAGCTTCTCTTGTGTCACACTTATTGACATCTTCCCCCAATCTCACATTTTGCTTTTCTTGTCAACTCATAGCTCATGCAATTCATGAGATGAAGGTTGGTGTAACCAGTGTAACCATTGAAAGTGGAGAGATGTGACTGTAAATGTTTTGCAGGCTCTTTTTCTTTTATACCCTTTGTTAAATATTTTAGTTAGAAACAAGCTCCTTTTATCAGCAGTTAGCTTCCAGTCCTGCTAGAGTCTTTTGATACCTTTTGATTACCTTAAGCCTCTTTGTGGCACTTCTTTAGGACAAAACTAGTTACTAAGATAAAAGACAAAAAATAATCTAAGGATGAAGAGGTCATGAATGATAAACACAAACTAGCTTTTGGAGGAAAGTTCAGAAATTGCAGAATGTATTAACATAAGGGTCCTTATGTTAAAGGTTTATGAAACTAAGGTTTAGAAGAAGAAAGTTTAAAACTCGTAGGTTGGGAGGTAATTTCAGGCACACAGAGGTAGCTGGAAGAAATATGGGAATGAAGCTGATTTTAGGCATGTACCAAATTTATGGTCTGTGGAAGATCCTGTGAAAATGTCTTCCTGTTTAAAAATGATCTTTCATTTTAAAATGATTGTGATCTTTGTTAAATGTTAATTTTCTAGGTAATATATACTTGAATTTGAAACACGTATGAAAATATGGATGTTTAAAAATCTGTAATATTTTCAGTACCTCCAAATGGCTGGGTCAGGCAGAGGAAGAGGACGTGCTTCATTTACCTTCAACATTGAGGCTATTGGATTTGGTAAAGGTGCAGCTCTACCTGATGTCATCTGTAAACCACCACCACCATTTCCAGTAAGTACAGCCAGTACCGTGGAGCACATTCTGTGTTCAGGTATAGTGTGTTCACACTTGTATTTAAATAACATAATGAAATATATGAAAAACCCTAAACAGTTAGGTCAGTTTTGAAGTATTTAATAGAAGTCATTATTTTTCTTATTGCTATTTCCTGTCCCTTTGCTAACTGTTGTTATTATTTATATGTGTTATTATGTTATATATTTAACTATATTGCTTGCAGGCTGTTAGTGTGTTGAAGTCCTCATCATGATTTGTTTTTCTGGACATTACAGTAGCAGTAACATTGGATACCTAAATTCATCTGAAATTAATTTACACTAGTCTTTGAGACTATGAATGGATTTGCTCATTTTAGATCATTGCTGTTTATGCAAAGATGAAAGATTGTGTAGAATTGTTGTGTACCTCAGGAGACAGCGTTTGAAAATAGCTGAAAGATACTTTGTATAATTAAGGAAGCTTAATTGAGTCTTGGCATTTGGGATGTATTTGAAAATTAAATGGGAAGAAAGAGCATTTTCTGACTGTGTTTTGCTGTGCAAGGAAGCTTGGACAATTTTGAGGCAGAAAAGTAGTCTTACAATGTTGTAGTTTTATATAAGAGAATTTATCAGTTATGTCAGGATTTGATTGAAGTACATGAAATTTTTTTCAATCTCACTTGTTATGATAAATGCCGTTTATCCTCTTAGTCCAATATTACAATTAAGCTGTGCGATTTCATATTACTAAATCATCTGTAGCTGTTTCTAATGTGAATGTTGCAGTCTGCTTGACAGCACAGTTCTGTGCCATCTGAATTCTGTATAATCTGCAGTTTCTGAGTTACGGTTGGCCTTGTAGGAGAATTATTAGACCCAGTATATCTAATGTATACCATGGATAAGTTAAAAATGCTTTCTTCCCTCTATGAACAAAGTTTCAGAACCAAGTTAAACTTCTCGGGTAAATCTAGTGCCATTTAAGAAAATCAGAGTTAACCCAGTTGTATAACTAGGTTCAATAAAAAATTCAAGTGTTAGATTTAATGACTGGTGTTACAGCTGTTGACTGACACTGAAATTATTTGAAGCAGTGAATTGTTACTATTAAATATAGCTGGAATCTGTAAACTCCTTTCACGGCCCAGCTCCGGGACTTGAGACAGCACTTTTTTCTCTGCAACCTAACACTCAGGTATTTATTGTGCACCATCTGTCATGTGAGAAAAACAACATCCATTCTGTAATTTGGTCTTTAGCATTCTGGATATTTTTGAAACTGTTTTTGTGTATTTATATTTCCCAATTTCAAGACTCATAATTAAAACAAAAACCAAAAACCAAGCCAAACTAAACACCACAAAAAACCAAAACCAAAGCAAGCAAATAAACAAAACCACCAAACACACATACACACACACACACAAATAAAATAAACCCAACCAAACAAAGAAACCAAACCAACCAACAATTAAAAAACACCCTGCCCAATAACCAACTGCCAAAAATATACAAACAAAAAAAATCCAAGTCTTGACAATTCATTTAAATTCAGTGGACAGAAACTGAATTGTGTGAGGGCCTGTGTGCTACCTGGTTTTATGACAACACTACCTATTCCCATGACAACAGTCATGGAAAAGGTGTCCATGTTACTCAGAATTCATACTTAATGCAGTTAAGACACTATTTTAGAAGAGGTTTAAGTCCAGCACTACTCTGACTGAAGAGAGAAGAAATGGTTTCTGACTAAGGTTAGTGAGAAAAACTACTTTTAGCTAGTCAGGATGACTGTGAATGACTATTTCACAGTTTTAACATATTTTACTCTTGATTTCTTGATGCATTTTTGCAGAAAGATACAGTGAAGTTATATAGGGTGTAAATTTAGATGTAAACATAGTTACTATGCGTGTCAGAATGCAATATAGTATACTTGTGAAGTAGTGTAACGCATAGTTGCATTTTTTTTAATTAGCTGTGTTTATTGTAGCTTTTATTAGTGTACCTGTGTATTTGGTGGATATCAGTACCTTATATATAATAAACATAATTTGTACAGAGTACAGACAATAAACCAGTGCCTCTGAAAACAGGAGAAGATGAAGATTATATGTTGGCCTTAAAACAAGACCTTAGAGAAACTATGAAAAGAATGCCATACTTTTTGACAGTAGAAGAAGAACATCAAGGTTTGTGATCTTTTTATCTATATCTTTAGTCACTATTCTGGAAAGGTTGATATAGTGAAATGCATGTGTTGAAGATGTGTTTCATACTGATAAAAAATAGCAACTTAAAATAATAGTGAATTTTTCTGCTTTTACACTTATTGAAATCATGGGTGACACCTACAAGTACTATAACTGGAAAGCAACTACTGTTGAGAAAAAAAGGTATCAAACATCTACTTCATTTGGTATACAGTAAGAAACATTTAGACCAACTACATACAGTCTTTTCAATTATATGCTAGCCAATACAAGTGAAATAGGCATTTCTACATGTTAAAATACCATAACATTTGGCATTAGAGCAAAGAAATCCATAGTAAATACTAGTGTTGAAATTCAGCTTTCATTGTGTAAAGACATACTCAAAATAATCAATATTATATTTAATGAGTGAACATTTTAAAAGGTACTCAGCTTTTTTCGCCCTAAGTCCATTCAGAAAATACTGACAAGTCACTGGAAATAATGAAGACTGAGGTGAGGTTAAGTGATTTACTGAGATTTATACCAGAAGCAGAGCTGGATTAGAAGCCAGATCTTGATCTTATTCTGCCTGATCTCAGAATTTCTTTTGCTTGCATGTATTTAAATATTAACTGCTATATTATCATTTGATAACAATAAATTCTCTTCTATACTTGACATCCAGTCATACATCATTGTATTGTTAAATTCAAACTTCCCAGTCGGAAAACTGAGCTAGTGGGAAAGAAGGAAACTGGAGCAGGAAAACTTAAATGTCTGTTTACCATACTGTGAGGGTATTGTAAATCCAGTCACAAGAGGTTATTACTGTGAGAAGTTCTTCTTTTCATTCATGATTTTTTGCCTGGTTTTATCAGGCCCCTGAGTGCTTATTCTGAATTATATAAATGGCAAGTGCTGTTACAGCTCTATAAAAGTGTTTAAGAAATTCAAAGTGTTTAGGCACTGGATAATCTTTTCCTTCCTATCTTGTGCTAATTTTGAATAATGAGAGCTGACTTAAACTCTGAAATGTAAGGTTTAATCTCCGCCCCAAAACCATCAGAATGTTTTCTCACTGAGTATTCATGATGTTGATAACATAGAGGTGCATAGTGTAATCCCTTCTGAATTTTTGCTAATTTCTGTTCATGGTGTAGTGGTGAATTCTAGATGGTTTTGAGATGGTGCAATTTTTTTATTAGGCTTTGACTGTAACACTGAATAACACACCTTATTCATTGTCCCTTTGTTCTGTACTAAAGCCCAGTATAAAATGGAGCAGTGTCCTGCAGTGTGAGCAGTGAATACACTGACAGACTGACGCTGTGGTTCACAAAAGGCAGAGTATCTCCCCTGATGTGCACCTGGAACCCAACGGCCACTGGGATGCAGCTCTAGTGCAGCACAAGCACAGACCAGGCTGGACCCTGACGGTGCAGCCAGGTAAAACTGATTATAAGGAAAGAACAGATCTGATCCTTATTTCTAGATCCTTTTCTGATAAGAACTCCAAATTACTCTTTTATTACATCTTCTCTTTCATCTTTTGAGTAAATGTATTTCAATCAGTTTGGATTCTCACCTCGCTGGAGGCTTGCTGTGCTCTTGATCTTTGTCAGGATTGGAATTTGCTATTTCCATTAGAGACACAAAATAGGAAACTGCTATGCCTGAGAGCCAGTCAGGATTATTTCCAAGGAACCTGCTGCTTTATGAGAAAATGTTATCTCTCTTTTCCAGCTTTGCCTCATATGATTGTTCTTACTGATCATTTTGAAATCATCTTTGTTTCTGCAACCTTCTTTCTGAGTGAAGAGATCTCTCTCTGTTGCTCTGTTCCTTAGTAGAACTGCCAGCTTTGCATACTGGTTTTTAATACCAAAATGGGAAGTTGCAGGGAAAGTAGGGAGACCACTTGATAAACTGAAATAATGCTTTGAACGCTATCATGATCTCCCCAAGGGTAAGTTGGTAAGTTGAGGTAACTTTTTGTTAAATCTTTAGTTGTACAAAAATTCTGCGTCTGAGGGGTGTGGTATAATTACATCAGTGGTGGTCAGCAGTTTAAAAAGCTTGTTTTCATCTCAGTCATAGTGTGCAGTTGTCTCTGGGACTGTATTATGTGGCAGAAGTGGCCTAGTTTTAAGATAATTGCATTTATCCCCCAGAATAGACTGTTTTAAACTGATCTTTTCTGTCTGGTTTACAACTGTTTGCTCCACTTTATTTCATCAAAACATCTGATAGAACTAAGAGGAGGCAGGAGGGGGGACTGTAGGCAAGAACTTCATAAATTGGCTTTGCTACAAGAGTGACTGGATTATTTTAAACCCTAAGCACAACATCTCTGAGCCAAATGGTCCTTGAAAGTGCGAGAAACAAGGCATCTTAATTAGTTGGGATATAGCTATCTATCTTATTATTCAGGTAGTAAACAAAAGCTGCATATAATGCTACCTGGCAAATTCGATGTGTTAGTGTCCCATGTAGAATAGATTTCCATCATTCATTTCAGTACTCATGTTGAGTGAATAGCAGGCATATTCTTTAGTAATTTATTTATTTTCCTCGTTAAATTAGCTATTAATCATTCATATTTTTCCTCTAGGTATATCTGCTATGACTGGGTGACTGCCACCTTGGCAGCAGCTTCGAATGAATTCATTAGTTGTGAGAGGTGTGAGTCAGTCAACGATTTTTTGTACTGATGGCAGTATTTCGTCACTAAAGAGCCTTGAGCTGAAATCAAAACTACTGGCTTCTTTTCCTCTCTTTGCTGACAGTTTCCTCTAGCATCTGTGAATGCCCCTTGAGACACTGTTATTTTAAACTCAGGCTCTTCCTTGAACAGTTCTAAGAAGGTTTTCTGCTTGCCCTCATCATAACTAAGTTTAAAATTGAACTTCATTTATGACATCTTCTTTCTTCCTGGTGAGCACACATCTGAAGGACAGGATGCCATTCTGAGGGACCTAGACAGGCCCATGGTAATCTCATGAAGTTTAACAGAACAAGTGCAAGGTGCTGCACCTGGGTTGGGGCACTCCCAATATCAGCACAGGCTGGGGATGAACGGATCAAGAGCAGCCCTGCCAGGATGGATTTGGGGGTGCTGTTTTGTGAGGTGCTGGAGATGAGCCATAAGTGCGCACTCACAGCTCAGAAAGCCAAACATGTCCTGGGCTGCATCCAAAGCAGTGTGGGCAGTGGTTTGAGGGAGGGGATTCTGTCCCTCTGCTTTGCTCTGGTGAGACCCCACCTGCAGGGCCACATCCAGCTCTGGGGGCCCAGCACAGGAAGGACATGGATCTGTTGGAGCAAGTCCATAGGAAGCCACCAAGATGATCAGAGGGATGGAGCAGTTCTCCTACGAGGAAACCCTGAGAGAATTAGGATTGTTCGGCCTGGAAAAGAGAAGGCTTCAGGGTGACCTTATTGTGGCTTTCCGGTAAATGAAGGGAACGTAGAGGAAAGGTGGGGCAAGACTGTTTACGAGAGCACGTAGTGACAGGACAAGGGGAAATGTGTTTAAATTGAAGCAGAGTAAGTTTAGTTTAGATATTAGAAAAAGATTTTTTTCCTGTGAGGGTGGTGAGGCACTGAAAGAGGTTGCCCAGGGAAGTTCATCCCTGGAAGTGTTCAAGGCCAGGTTGGATGGGGCTCTGGTATAGTTGAAGGTACCGCTGCCCATGGCACTAGGTGATCTTCAAGGTCCTCTTCCAACCCAAACCATTCAATGATTCTATGTTAGAAGTGTTTGACTCTAAAGATCAAAGGCTGTCTCAGTTACTATTTTTTGTACAGTACCCACAGAAATTATCCCTGTTTGAATAATGAGTTATTAGTGCAATCAGATTCGCTAATTTTGCATGAAGTGGATTTTGCAGTTGTGAATTCAGTAAGAAAAAAGGGAACTGATTTAAAAATACTAAAGTTCTGATAATGCTTTTGTCATTACAGATTTCACATAAAGGGTTTTTTCAATATAAATAGCTGTGTTTACATTGTATGACTACTGCATTATTTATGATGCATTTCTCAGTTTAGTTCTTGTAGCTGAAAAGAGGTTAAATGGATTAAAGTGTGTTGCTGCTGTTTAGGATGGGATGCAAAGCTTTTCCATTGCAGAAGTACTGAAAGTCTTGGAAGGTGATGATCAGACTGAGACACAGCCTTTTGATACCTGGGAATTATGGATGGTTAACATAGGGATGTTACATTTCACTGACTGGTTTTGTAGCAAAGGTCTGATTGTGAAAATCTTGAAGAGTATAACAGTTAGTGTTACATTTGATGTTTCAACCTAGTTGCCCTGATTAAATCTGCATTTCATAATTTCATGCTTTTCAAGGATAAAAGCATAAATTATAATAATTTTGGAGTGCTTTTTTTTTTTTTTAAGTTCTTGACAACAATAAAATGTGAGAATAAAAAAATATACTATATGTTTAGTTACAGGAAAATATCAAGGACTATGTCTGGATTGCCTGTTAATTAACTGAAGTCAATAACTCTTTGTATCCTTCTCTATAGCAATTGAGAGGTACAGTCAAAAGTACCAGGACAGTGAAAAGGAGCAGAATACATGGACTCCAGGTAGCATCTGAGGCTAATTTTCTGTTAACCTGTGAAACGTTTGCTCTTTTAAGTGTTTGATTCATTATTTTTCAAGCAATAAAAAAGTATGAAAATCCTCACCAAGTCATGCATTCCTTGTTGAGAGTTATTCCTTTGCATGTTTTTGGATCAAGGCAAGTATTGTTTTGTCAGGAAAAAAAAGGGTAAGAATCTGATTTTATTTATTTAATCGGTTGTAACAACTGATTTGCAACAAAAACGCAAGCTTCAGCTCTGACTTTAGCTTTCATTTTTCCTGACTCACCACACAGATACTAGCTTTGAACTGGAGCAAACATTGATGTTATTAAAAATAATCCAACCTGGTGTCTGTCATAGGTAGTCATGCCTGTATAGCTCACTACCGCAAACATAATTACATAATGTAAGTTGAAGGGCCCATGGGTCACTGGAATGGCTGAACTTGTCTCTTTAGGGTAGAGGCCAGTTGTCATTATGTGGGGGAAATGACAGTCCTGAGTCCAGTTCCTTGATTTAAATTACAGCTAGAATTCCCTAAAACTTTTGTGTGCTAAAACATTTTGGCATCCATGTAAAGAAGATCAAGAACAACAGGGGCCTGTTCCTTTCCTTGGTGAGTTGCAGGGAGAGGATTACTGCAGTAAATCATCATTTTTCTACATTAAGCTATTTTCTGTACAGATTGGAGAAGACTCCCAAGAGAGATGAAACCAAAGAAGACAACCAAAAAAGGTATATTATATATCTTTAAGAAGCAAATAATACACATTAGTTGAGAGATAGAAGACATACTGGAGCTGGTTAGGGGAAAAAATATTATAGAAATGTTAATTAGTCCAAATAATCAAGTCTTTTGGCAATATTTTTCTAAATAATTTACTAGTCTTCCTGCCTTTTGTGATTTTTACTTTGCTTTTATAGGATGTTTTAACTTATTTGTATAGATTTATCTTCCTTTCCTGACTCATGTATTGATGTACCATATTGCACTGTACATATGAGATATGTAACAGTGAAAAGTTAAAAAGAAAAAAAAACACAACAAAACCACAAGCCTTTTTGTTTTGAAAGCTTGCAACTTAATCAACACTCACCCTTCTATTCAATAAGTAACTAGCTGTTCAGATTTCCTTTATATTTTGGGTTTCTCAATTATTTATTATTTGGTTGAGTTTTGCAGGTTTTTTTAAGCCTTTTGCATGAGGTTTAATGTGGGTTATTTTCTATTTTCCCTGGTTTTACTTTTTTTGTTTATTTTCAGCTTTCTTCTGCAGAATTGTGAACCAGATCCTTCAACAGCAGTTGGAGCTGGTATTGGCTGTTCTTACAGGAAAAAAGATTTTGTTACACAGCATCATTTGTTTTTCAAAGTGTTTTCTAGTGTGCATGATTTATTTAAAGTTCTCTATAAAAGTCTGTTGTTCTGATGATGTGAAATAACACTTGGCCTCCTGTATCTAGCTGTCTCTTTATATATAATTGTTTATTTTCTTGTTCTTTTTGTCCAAGTCTCTCCTGTGTCATTTTTCAGTTCAAGGATAAAGTAGAAAAAGAAATGGAAATGTACAGTAGTGACAAAGACTGGCTCAGCTGGAAGCTTTGTTCCTTTTAAGAATGTCACTGACAAGCATGGTACTAAAGGTAGACTGTAAGATTCAACTGAAAATCAAATACTTATTTGCAAAGTCTCTAAAGATGGGACCAGAATACACCTAATTTTTTTCCCCCACAAGAGGAAACTACTGGATTTTGTAAGCCCCTGCACAATAGGGAGCTCCCCAAGATCCAGTGAAATAATAAATAACTATTATTCCTTGTTTAAAAAATATTATGATGAAGAGAAAATCATTGCTCACTGTGGGATCTCTCGTCTTTCTTTAGTGCCAGTTTCTCTATTGTCTCTTAAAAGTACATGTTCTAACATGGCTGTAATGGTGAAGAGATCAGGTGATCATCAGAATTTTATTTGATTAAAAAAACAGCTGCCCTTGAAAGCAAAAACTATGTGTTTTAGGGGTTTTTTTTTTGGAATTCTGATGATACAGAGGGCATACAAAAGTTATATGACTCAGGATATTTGTATGTAGCTGATCAGTGACACATCAGCCCTCCTGGTACATATCTTAGTAGTATTTTGAGGACAGTTAACTTAGGTGACACTTGTGGAACAAAGGTGAGTGAGTCAAGAGAACTTGCACAGAAATTCAACCAGGCTTCCTACCATTACCCATTGTAGCATGCAGGAGTGGTTTGTTATATGTACAGGGACAGCTTTATTTTTACACGTCTCTCCCTCCCTCTTTCTAGTTTCCCTGAATGTTTTAAGCAAAGATCTGACCACCTGTCACCTTAGTGACAAAACTTTGGGTAGAATTCCACATCTCTCCCACACTGACCCTTGGCTATGGAACACAGTATTCTAGATACCAGTGCTGCCTGCCAAAAACAAACCAAACCAAACCAAGCAAAAGGAAAAAAGAAAAAAATAAAGAAGGGTTCTGCTGACATTATACACCAGCCATATGCATAAGTATATAGTAATCAGGTACATGCATTTTAGCCCAAGTACTTCAAGAACGTGTATTTGGAAATCAGATGAAATTATATTCCCTTGCACCTCTAAGGTATATTATGTACAGAGCTATTTTGCTTGAAGTTCTACTAAAGATGGGTCAGGATCTCTAAGTTTATGATAAGGGCCAAAGATGTTTGGCATTTAGGGATAAATCTTACATGTCTGTTCTATCTGCATTTAATCTAAAAGCCTGTGGGATTTTGTGCAGAGATGGTAATTCTGAATTGCCCTCTACACTTGTTTTCCTTAAAAGCCTACTTCATTCTGGATGTGTTTGCTTTGATGTTTATGTTTTTACAGAGCAGCTTGACTCCCCTCAGTTCTTTGCACTACTTTAGTCACATAATTGTTTTCTAGGCAAAACACTGAAACAAACTCAATGTTATATATGACAAATGCTTTTGACAAAATACAGTCGTTTGCTCAGCAGTTCTCAGGGTTCTGCTTCCTTGAGTATTAGGCTGGTATTTGGGCAAGTTTGATATAGGGTGATGCCATTCAGGTAGTTCTTATCTGGGTATATGGAGTGCTATTTTTGACCTTTGCTCCACCATATAATTAATCAGGGAGTAACCTGGTAAAGATTATATTAATGAATCAGGGAACTAGGTGCAAATACACTCTGTGGACTTATTAGATGAGAGCCAGCTATGGTGCAAGAGCCACGTAGCTACAGTAACCATACCTTCTGCGTTACAGCTAATGAACTGCTGTGAACTGCACTGTATAAATTAGTAACAATGAATTCCTATCTTTTCAAGATCATGAAAAATAACGAGTGAGATTTTGTTCTAGTTTCTTAACATATTGTGAGTAGGTAGGTGACAAGTATTTTGTGAAGCTGGACATCATCCTTTAGCCAAACATTTGGTCAACTGCTTGTTCAAACTGAATTTCAGATGCTTTCTAGGCATGTCTTACATAAACTGGGCACTTACACCTCTATGAACGATGTAGCTCAAAGTCTAAGGTAATTTTAATACAGCCAGTATGGGATTTCTCTGGCATATTCAAGATGTAAGCTTGTGGGACCAAGTAAAACAAGATAATTTGTGCTTTCCGTATTAAAGAAATAATAGTGATGTATTTTATTTCACCAGGTGCAAAACCAAAAAAGGCAAAAAACTTTGAGCCTAAAAGTAATCTGGATGTGATAAAAAAAATTGAGGTAAGATGTGCAAACTCTTTCTAAATTTTACAATAGAAATTGCTGAAGGAAAATGAAACCTAGTATGTTTTTGGTACACATGGAATAACCAGAACACCCTTTATTCTGGCCTTGTCATGTTACTTTGGCAGACAGCTATTCTGCACTGTGGTGGCACAAGGGTTAGAGTAAGGATAGAGCCTGGAGAAATTACTTTCGCTGCTCCTGCTTGTACCTGAACACAACAATCAGTTGCTCTTCATTGGGTAGCAATCCAGCCTAATGTGAACAGCAGAACTACTGTTGGAGCTTCCTGAAGGAGGAACTGGTGTCAGAGCTTTTAAATCTATTGATGTTTCACCAATCCACTGATGTGAGAACAATTTAGTAAGTTGGGAGGGAAGAAACATACAGAAAGAGAAACTTAGAAAGTGACTTCTGTTTTGCAGACAATTATTTATCATGTGGGGTGGGAAGCTTAAAGGTGGAACAACTTTGTATTTGTTCTTGTGGTGATCCATCAGTTGTTTGGTGCAGTTATATTATTACAGACAGTATGTGGTATTGCTTTATCAAGTAATGACATGGCCTTTTCCTGTCAACTGTGCTACCAGTGGATGGTAAAGGGAAATCATCATCTCAGTCTGTAACATAAGCCATGTTTTTTTAGCCTTTAAGTGCGATGGCTAATGCTTGACCAAGTCTATATGAAGTTCCTGTGCTTCACATCATATTGGTTTAAATGTCAACAAACATTTTCACACCATTGTTATGCTCTTAACTTTGTTATGCTGTCTTGCTGTTAACTGCAGTTCAATATTTTGGTATTATGAATTCCTGTTGCTGTAATATGGGATTACCTTGTAAAGGAGATTGCCTTGTGACAGGAGTTGGAAAAGAAGGATGATGAAGAGGAAAAATCTGAAGATGAGAAAGACAAAACAAAAGACAAAGAAGGTGAAGATGATGAAGAAGCAGAAGAACCAGAGGAATATGATGAAGAGGAACATGAAGAGGTACAATGTCAGTTTTCCTGTATACAAAGTCCCATCCCATTTATTGAGTAATGTGTTGGCTGGCAGCCAAGGAAATGTCCCTAGCTTCTCTGATGCCAAGGGAGAGTTGTTGTGGGAGGCATTATTATATTCATGTTCTTTGTTGCACTACATTTCGTTGTAGTTCATTTAATTGGGTGTTTTAGACTTACTATTCACAAAGAGCTCTGAAAAAAAAGATCATGCACACAGGAATGTGTCCTGCCACAGTCAATATGTACAATTACTCCTTTTCATCACTGAAACAGTGATGCCTCTTCTTTCATAGGTATCAGAACTTCATTGCAGTATTTTCCTTTTTCTTTGCCAAGAAAATAAAATCTACTACTGCTTTAAAAGGTGGGGGCTCAAGTGCAGTTTAAAGAATGTTTCTTTTATAAATTGTGTTCTCCACAGATAAAGTGATAGATTTTTTTCTTCAATTGGTTTAGGAAAATGACTACATTTCCTCCTATTTTGACAATGGAGATGACTTTGGTGCTGCCAGTGATGACAGTATGGATGAAGCAACATACTAACTGTGGTTGCTAGGTGCTACACTGCTCAAGCCTTACACTACTTGAAGAAGAATTCTGGAGGTAGGCTGAATATCAACAGACCTAATGCTTTAGCTCTACTGGCTTTAAGCAGACTCTCCAAAACCACGTCTGAGTTTAATGGTACTATGATGTAAAAAAGGATATGAGATCCTTTGTTTTGTTCTTTTGCCAAGTGTTTTGCAGACATGCACCTTTTTAAGGTCTTCTGGAATACCTTTTGAAGAAGTAAGGTATATGCCTTTGTGTTGCCTCTGCACAGAAGAAGAATGTATGCATTTTACTTGAAATTGTGCCTAAGCATTTGCACTAGTCAGTTCTGTGCCTCAGCAGTGAAATCTTGAAACCAGTAATGAATTTCTTGATGACTGCAGCAAAAGAGATATGGCCTTTATGAACATAAACTGCTTGCATTTGGCAGCTGACTTCTCTGAAAAAATTTATGTAACTTTTGAGTTCAGGTGACTGAAAAAAATTGATGACTAAGCACTTTAATATAAACTGACTGATCTGATTTTAAAAGAATATGTGGCAAAAGTTAGAAAAATTACAGAATCCTGGTTTCACCAATTAATGAAAATTTCAGTCCTTTGCCTCAGTTTCTCTGCCTGTTAGACTTTCTTACCTCACAGAGCTGTTAAGTGAGAAGGGAGATGATATGTATCTATGTAATTGTTAATGCATTTGTTTACTTCCTACAGAACAAAAAAGACACAAACAGAGAGCAAATCAATAGAAAATAAAACCCAAAAATAAAAGAATGTGGTGCAATATTTTAATGCATGAGGTTTTAATTAGAAAAATAAAGGATGAATGCTAAGATTAGCAAAACCAGAATGTTTGGAAACATCAATTCTATTTGAGAACAAAAGCTGAAATGTTGATAACTTATTACTGAGTTTGAATAATACAGTAACAGTGCATTCTTTGTGTCACTTTTGACGGTACAAAATATTATTGGCCAGTGTTACTACATTACTATTGATTGTTGTGGGGGTTTGTTTTGTTTTGTTTTTTTCCGGCTGGTTGGTTTTTGTTTGTGGGTTTTTTTGTGGTTTTTTGTTGGTTTGTTTGTTTTTTAACATTCTTAAAACATTATGTTCCTGTTAATAATCACTGTTACTGGCTCTAATGAAAAGTTTTAAACAAAGCCAATTCCTTTTATCAGGAAAGGAAACTATAGTAGTTTTCCTTACATGTCTGGCATGTCTGGCATTCTGAAAAGCAATACTTCACCTCACTGGTGACCGGGAAACAATTCTGCTTTATTCTGTGCATTTCTATATGCAGTAAGAATTTAGTCCTTAAGGTGTAACTTTTACATATTCTGATAATATACCTATCATATGTAAAGGAAATCAAACTAAAATGCTATGCAAGTCACACCTCAGAGGTATACCACTTTTATTTTGAAGTGTTTATTGACTACAAATGTTTAATAAAGATTCTACTGCATTGCACAGGAAATACATTCTTTCAGTTTTCTTTTAAGCATCACACGTCAGCAGTTGGGTTGCCTGCTTCTTTGTGTGTGATATACAAAACAGAGACAGAAGATGTGAGTGAGGCAAACATGCTGAAAATTCACTTGCCATAACTGTAACTGCTCCTACTGGCTGTTTGCCCCATGCACAGTGAACAGTGATACTCCTTGCCTCTGAAACAAGGAATGCAAATACATGGCTTTTGCCAAAGATGGAACTACAAAACTAAAACAGGAAAATAATTACTGCACAAGTTACAAGTTGTTTGCAAGCTGTGGCTTGCCTGAACGAGTACAATACCTGATCCTGTAGCAGACAGTAATTCTTGAGGACTAATGACCTACTCCACCCATCATACTGCTAATGGATGAGACAACTGCCTCTCTGCTGCATGTTGAGAAATACTACCCTGGCAAAAATCAGATCTTTTTGAGACCTTTAAAAGGTAAACTGTAGTCACTGTCCTCCAGATGCAACTGCAAATCTTAGGCTGGACCCTCTATGACTTGTTTAACAATAAGGCCATTGCTTAGGAACATGCCAAGTTCTGCAAGGACACAGCTCTGTGCTATAGCACTTCTAAAAAGCAGTGAGATTGTGCTCTTCAAGAGGTGCAACTCTTCTTAGAAGCCGATTTTCTATCACTTAGAATTTATTGCAAGACCATAATGACAGTGAAACCGTTCTTCGGTTTTCAGCAAACTTCAGATTTTGACAGGCATCTATTCAAATCCTGTCTTTATAACACAGACAAATATTGCTTTCCGTGTGTAGTCATATAACCATCTAAGAATTTCACTGATCCCTACCTTAATTTTTCATATCTACTTCTGGGAATTAACAAGTTCTCAGAAACTTATGCGGAAAACTTCCAAGTTTACAAGGCATGAACAGGATAAACCATTAAGGCTGCAGTTATGGCATGCTAGATGTAAATGCTATGTGCAGCTACTGCCAACAAAATGCTTGCTAGCCAAGGATTTTTATTTTAGATCATACATAAAAATTGGCCAAAACAAATACAAGTAGGGGCCTCCTGTAAAAAGACATGCACAGTATGTACAGCTAAGATTATATGTACCACTTTCACTGCTGTCTAAAATAAAATCTTTATTTTACATGTATTACTTATGTTTTCCTAAAAGCAAAAGACCAGAAGTATTTAAAATAAGACTCACATCCTCACTCAGAAGTGTTTTACAAAGTTGTATTTTCAGGCTTTATAAAAGTTATACAAAGACTGTTTGTGACAACGTAATCAAAGTATAGCAGATTTAAAACATTTCAATTTTATATTATCCAACCTTAAGTTAAAACCAACTTCCTGATCAATATGTTGCAATTAATCCAAAAGGTGATTTACAACTCAGTTACTTTATGTTTCATTGTTGGTTTTATTTTTAACAAGTCAGTTTCTAGAACACTAACTTTTTAGGTTTTAACTTAAGTCAGATTTAAGTTTCCTACAGAGCAGCTACCTTGTTTATTCAGAGCTGATGTGATGATGCATTTCCAGTTGTGTTGTACTTCGGAAAAAATCAGTAAAGACCCTTGCATCCTATAGAAAGCTGTGCCACGTGATCCTTGTAGTTTACCAGGACCAGGAGTCCTCCAATCTTGGAAAAAAGACCTACTATCTTCTGATAAAGTTAACTCTCTAATTAAAAAGTGCTATATGGGTTAATAGCCATCAATTCAGGTTGTGCAGTAAATTAGGCTTCATCACAATAGCTAATTTAATGTGTTTTAACGAATCTGTAAGAAATGGAAGGATAAAGTATTAGAACCATTGCGATTCAATTCAGGAACACAGTGATGGGGGAAGAAGCAAACTAGTAAATAAGCTTGCAGCAAAAAAGTTGACACATTATATAACAAGTTCCATACCTTATAGAAAACATACGTCTTCACATGCCAAAGCTCTCTTGTCTGGATTAGAGTAAGTCCTTTTAAAGTTTTAATCCTAGAAGCTGTATCACTTTAGCCACCAAAAAGTATTTTGCAATGCAGTTTTTCATACAGCATTACCTAGAATTAATACCTCAGTGTTTATGTTTGTGTTATTGGCGTATTGTCTTCATGAAAAGAAATATTACTATAAAAGATCTTTGAAAACGAGTATTATGTGAACCATTAAGTTCATGCCTATTTGTATCTCCAGTGCAGAGACTATGAGTAGGTTCACTACCTCCACAGGTGCCCTTTTGAACAAAGGGTTTAAGAGCCACAGGTTCACACACCTAACTGCCTAACTGTACACCATCTTCCCTCCAGCTTTGGCCTGCCCTCAATTTCAATATAATACAAGTTAGCCAATTCACGTGCATACACTTGGCATGCCAGTGAAGACTACCTGCCCCAAGAATAGATGGGGCCTAAGTCTTTACTCTCAGAAACTGATAAAGCACTTTGAAATAACTCAATAGTAAGGAAACATTCACTTTACCAGATTTTTTAATACTGTATGTATATACACCTACATACTTAGTTAGGCAAGACACTCAATGGAAAGCTTACAATAATAGTTTAAAGGATACTGATTATTTTTCCACTTCTCTCTTTATAAGCTATAATCAAGTTAATCAATCTTGGGTTTTGCTAATAAATAGTATTTTAAGCAGGGCAACGGAATTTTGCTCCACAAGATAAACACAACAAAAAAATTTATAGGCACCATCTCAGTTTTTATTTAAAAGTATTCTGAGTACACAAGTACCTCTTCCTTTCTGTATGAAGAGTCCAGAGTTGTGGGTTTTTGTTTTGTTTTGATTGTTGTTGGTTTGTTTGTTTCTTTCGGGGGAGAAAAAGAGGGGAAAACCAAGGTTGACCATGAAACTCCAAGTGAAACATTCAAGAACAGAGTAGTTGATAAAATACACTACCATGTAAAGAACAAGTCTGAAGCTACAAGTTGTCTATTCTGCTGCAATTTGCTATCAGGCATTAAACCTCATTTGAAATTTTCTAGGAGATTTCAGGAAAAAGTGTTTGATGTTCACAGGCACAAGACTATTAGCATATTCAGAACCCACATGACTGCTGTCTGAAGAATCAGTTGGTCCTGAACTGAGATTGACTGAAGGGGGGAAAACCAAATTGATGTTACAGCAAGGTGCCACACGTCTGCACTTCTTTCATTCCTACACACAGCTGACCAGATGAGAATGCAGTCCAGTCAGTTTTCAGCAGGATATCACGGAAGAATGTGAAGTTTCAGGATGATTCTCTCAATTGGACTGTATTGAAGCACAGTATCACACAGAGAAAACAAATTGTTCCATTGCCTACATTGAGAAGTACTGAAGAATGGGTTGACCACAGGCACAAGAATTAAAGATTCTGGCTTAAGTATTTGCTACTGCCTCTGTAGAAGTCACTTGTAAAAAAAGAACTTCATAGTGGCAATTAATTATGGAATGATTGAGTTCTAAAAAAAAAATCTTACTCTATAAGAAAGATAAAAATATGAGAACAGCATTTTGACAACTGTAAACCTGATATTAAAATGTCAAGAGTACTATAAATTCTGTAAATACTTTCAGATGTTTAAAAGTTAAGATATCCCCATATGCCCATTTCTGGGCTGTAAAACGCACAGTGAGACTCCTTGTGTGTTAGTTCAAACTATATTTTTTCACCTCATCATTAATTAAAAAACATATGTCTATCAAAATAGAAAAAAGTGCAAAGCATCAGAGACGATTCTATAGCTTAATTTGTATCCCAGTCTTGCAAATTGCCTGTCTCAGGCATATTCAGAGATTACATGATCCCCAGAAATATCCCTGTGGTGGAACACTACCCATGAGGGCAAGTCATATATCAGTTCTTGTTTCCACTGCGTTCCAAGTACATTTTGCATTCTGTGGCTTCCCCTTTACCTAACACTATGTTATGTGCCTACCAATAACAGTTACATGGGGTATTCCACTGTTAATGCTGAAAGTCTCCTTGATTATCAACATTGATAACATTTGCTGGATTTATTCTATTTTCTATTTGTTTCTGATGCGATACTGCTGTGACAAACAAATGGGAAGATTCCATTGTAGAATGGTGACTGACATCTGCTTTCACCAGAACTTCGTAATACAGGAGATAAAAAACTGGAGTTACTATGCCAATGATCAACATAATCACTACTGCTGTCCACCATCCTATACCCCAGTCTGCTCCGTAGTAAGGATCCTTGCTTTTTTTAGTTTTACCATCAGTTTCAAAACAGACCTGTTGGGCTGCTAAAGCAGAAACAACTTCATTAAGGTTCTCTCTCTTTGTATCATTACACTTCACTATTTCTTCTATATCTCGATCCACTTCTTTTAAGAAGTTGCCAGCAGTCTCATTAGCAGAGAATTTATCAGAAAGTGATGTCTCCTGCACTTCTGGGGAATAGAGAGCGGGCCGAAAGACTGGCCTTCCTTTTGGAGGGACGTGCGTTTCAGTCAATACGCTGAACTTTTTCACCGGAATTTTGATAGACCTCAGGGCAAAGAAATCTTGATCGTTGATAAGATTGTTAACTCTCTTGATATCTGCAACCTAAAAATAGGAACAACAGTTAAAACATTGCACCCCCATCGAAACGCAACTCTTAATAGTACCATATCCTTTAAAAATGGTACTACGCCGAGTCTTTCCTATGGAAGTAAAGGCAAGACCTTTGTTTTGCTTTACTTTTTTTTTTTAAAAACGGATCCCCATTGAAACAATATGAAGTAAGAAGAGGTCAAAGACCAAATATGAACAACATTACAGCAAGAAAGGAATTAATTATGAGGTAACAAACTTTGTCACTTCAGATAAGAACACTGAAAGCCACTTCACACACACGTATTTACGTAATGTATGTTCATCCATCACTTGGCAACTATCTCTGTGAAAGGAATGAGACTTTACTGTTTTCAAATGATGTAACTTACTGAGTTCCTAATTAAATTGAAAACTTCTGAATTGGGAATATTACAAATTAATGAGCTTCCAATCCATCTAGCCCCAGCTGTGTTTTTTGTTGCTTCTGAGGGCTAAGACAGAAACCAAGCATAACTTAAAAATGTCATCTACCGCAGCCAAGTCAGCTCTCCCCTTTTGCTATTCTTGTTCCAAATATTTGCTCTCAATAACTTCAGATTTTTAGTCTAATGTGAAAGATACTCTGCAGGGTTTTAAGCGCCCTTGGATAATCATTGGCTTTCACTCAGAGACAGGAACTCCCTCACCATAGAAGGCACAGCCACAAACCTCACCATAATGAAGTACTTCCTAATCAGAACTTTAAATCAGTTGCAGTTTCTGCAACACCTGCAAAGCACACAGGAATCGCGCCTGTTTTAAGATACACTGTACCCAAGTTCACATCAACTTTAGAACATGAAAAAGTTTTTCAGTTCCTATGACAAGGTATTTGTTATGTGTCCCATGCTGAATAAATTGGATTAGCATAAAAGACTGCCAAATTCAGCATTTACCCTAGTGGTTAGTGATCCCACCACAACTCAAGTTATACTTTCTGCCTAAAACTCCAGGATTGCTCTTCCACATTCTCCTGAGTTTCTGAAGAAGAGCACAACTCAGTTATCTCCTTTTTTATTGAGGCCTGATCTAGTAAACCTGCTCCAAATACTTAATTGCAGTGGGTTCTGAAGCCAAAAACTGGGTAATGAGGCTAAGGCCTGTCATGATTAGGAAATAGTTATGTCAAGACTTCAGTACCTAAGCTCACAACAGGAGGCCCCCAATTCTGTTTCTGCCTTAGGAATTATACAATAGCAAGAGTTCAGTAAAATAAGGATTTTGAATATGACCTCTTGGCCCCTGCACACTTAGCAGTCAGTCCCACCAAAACACACCATGATTTTGTGTTAAAACCAGAAACATAAGCCAAGACAGATGGCACTGCCTTAATTAGTACTGGCCAGACAAAATGACTGGGTAGCTGGGACATTCAGCAGACTAAGGTAAGAACTTAGCTGGAAGCAGTGAGCACCAAGAAGGGCACACAGGGGCGGAACGTTCCCAACGGTACAAGTTCAGGCTTATAATATTTAGGCAATTTAGGTGAATTCATAAGAAGACTACAGAGGGTTTTCCCCCTACTTTCATGAATTAGGGTTTCACACAAACCTTTAAGTGGTACAGCAACAACCACCCTCATCGCCAGCCTAACAGCGAGGATGTCACTGAAGTGACGACCTTTCACACTAACGTGTGGTCTCTCAGGGCGTCATAAGCAAGGCCATGCACTTGTTTCGTGCACTTTCAGCAGTTTTCGGGGCAAAAGCCCATGAAACAGGAACGCTGCCGCCACAGTGACACCCTGACGTCATTTTCCACTCCTGAGGGCCGCGGCGTCCCCACGGCCGTGCCCGGGCCCTTACCGAGCAGCAGAACTGCAGCGCGATCGCGTTCAGCGTGTCCCCCTCCCGGATGTCCCTCGTCAGCAGCACAATGTCATCCAGCCTGTCCCTGGACGTGCTCCGCCGGACCTTCTCCCTGCCCCGCGGCCGCAGCTCCGAAACCTCACCCTCCTCCTCCAGGCACTCGCTCTCGGCGCTCACCACAGGGTACAGGTGACCGCCGGCGGGCGGCTGTGCCACGGCGGGTCCCTGCGGGCCGCTGCCCGCACCCCTGCCGGCCATACTCCGCGGGCGGCCCTACAACGCACCGCGGCCCTGGCGCCCTCCAAGGGGAACCCCACGCCGGTCCCTCCTCCGTATCTTCGTCCCCGCCCCCACACAGCGCCCGCCAGCCCTCGAGGGGAGGAGGGCAGAGGGAGGGAGGGCCCCGCCTGCCCCTGCCCGCCTGGCTCAGCTCCTCTATGGCGGCCGCGCCGCCACGTCCGCAGCGGCGCCACGGCCCGGCGCCGGTCCCGCCCCACCTCTGGGGGAGGGCCGGGGGGCGAGCGAGGAGTTGGTCTGGTGGGCGGCTCCGTGCGGGCTTGGGGGGGCTACCTCGGCCCTAGGGACGAGTCCGGCCCCGCCGCCCCGCGTGTCGGCCCCGCCGCCCCGCGTGTCGGCCCCGCCGCCCCGCGTGTCCCGGCCCCGCCGCCCCGCGTGTCCCGGCCCCGCCGCCCCGCGTGTCCCGGCCCCGCCGCTGGGCCGCCCCGCACTGGGGGCCGGGGCGCTGTGCAGGGAGGCGCTTCACCGCGCCTTCCTCTCGCGCTGCCCCTGTGCGAGTTCGGTCGTGGGGTTTTCTTTTCGCTCTTGCTCATCTTTGTGAAGAAACGGAGGCTGTTCGGGTACGAAGCCGCTGTCTATTTGGGCTAGTAAGGGACCCCTTTTTGCCTGTTAAATATTCCCAGCTCTTCTGCACATTCTGTACTTGCTTGTGAGTCCTGCACTGCTCTTTCCTCCCCTAGTAAAGTAATTTTTACTTTAAAGGACTGTGAGCAGCTGTTGGGGTGCTGAGGCAATAGGCAGATTTCCTAGTCTGCCTAGTAACTTTAACACAGTGTGAGTTTCGCCTGACACAACCTTAGAAGGAAGTTTTGGTTACAGCAGGAGCAAGTACAGTATTCCTTACAAAAATTGATAACTCTAAGATTAGGCTAAATATGTTGTAAAAATGATTGCATTGCTGCTGAAGACAAATACATTTGCTAGTCTAGTTCCTGTAAAGATTAAATCCAATCTTAAAGGTTTTTTTCCTTTCTGTTTTTGAGTTTTGTTATGTTTCCAGGCTTTCCTGAACAGCCAAAGTGGCTAGAAAGGTGTTGAGTTTTGAAAACTAGATGGTTTGAGGGACATAAACGTAAGAGCTAACAACTGTGTAGCTCTATTGAGTGTCACATTCACACCCACAAAAGCTTAATTGGAGCCACATTTCCAGACACTGTAAAATAAGATATCAAAGTGCAGCATTCTCTTGTGTCTCACTCTATTTTAAAGGATAAATATATATATATATGTATATATACACACACATACATGTATCTATATCTGCCTTAAAATAGTGTTCTATTGTCAGTGAGGGATGGATCCATTAAAATGAAAATATTCCTAAGGCTGTCTAGGTACTCCCTAGCTAAATAACATCTACGAGAAAAGCAATACCTTTCACGTGGATGTTCTCTCAAGAGCATAGAATTTCTGTGTTGTAAGAGAAGGTTTGCCTGAAAGAATATAAATATTTTCAGGTACAGTAGTCAGCCTAAAATGATGATCTGGCCATTTCAAGGAAGTCTGCCCAGATTGCTGCCCTTTGCGGAGAACCATGGAATAGTACTAACATTTAAACAGGATTTCCTGCCTGCAGGAAATTGGGCCTAGCTAGTAGAAGGTAATTTTCAGGCTTTCTTATTCTGCATTTGTTAAAATATTGCAGTAGATACCAAGTGTAATTAGAATTTCCTCAAACCAAAGTTTCTTACGAGTCAGGAGACAATTTCCAAAACATTTAGTAACCTAACAAGGGATATTTTCTTGGCACTTGGACCCACATAACATTTTCGTTGTTGAGTGTTCTAGACGTAATTAACAGTGAACAGCGTGATGTCTCCTTGAAGGGCAGTTTCTTTTCTTCTTTCATAGCATCTTCCCAGTCAAAGCCTGCTCAGCAATAAGCCTTCTATTTTTATCATGGATCAGATGCACAGCTTGTGCTGATTAGCATAGCTGCACTGAAGACTTAGATACAGCCTCACTCCAACAAAGACAAGCTTGGATAGTCAGATAACATGACAAATGTGTGAACATACTTGTACAAGTCCCAGAATGATTTTATGTCTTTCTGAGGATGCCAAATATGAGGACACCAACTGTATTTCCAGAAAGACCAATATTTAAGATGACAAAATTGAATGAATTCCCAATAAACTGTGAGTTTTCTCACGGGATCTCAGGTTGAAGAAAATTAGTTTTAACCTAGTGAATGAGGGTTGCATCTATAAAGAGGTGTCATGCCACATCTGGCAAGGGATATCTGCAACACGAAGCAGTTTTGTTTTGTTTTTTAAAGAAAACTTTCAGTAGTAGAAGTGAAACAACTGTAGTTGTCTGTAGCTGGGAAACTGATGACTCAGACCCTATTCATGCTGTTGAAAGACTGTTTTATGAGACTAGTCAGAGCGGTGGGTGGACCTGGAGAGGAGTTTGAAGGCAGACTTCATATGCAGTGATGTCTGCAGCGGTGTCTAATGATTGTCCCATCATACACCACTAATGGCATATCCTCTTGGAGGTCTTTAATCTTTGGATGTTGTGGCTGTGGAAAAGATTAGGACAGGGAATTTCACCATTTCTTTTATCTAAAAAGGTGTACCAGCAGGTCAAAAAAAACTGCTGAAGCAACACTCTACCTTAGAGGGCGAAAGAAAATATTGGAGTTTGCTTTGACCCTGCTGCACCCCTGTGTGTTACCATTTGTAACTAGTGACATTTTCCCATCAATAACAAAAGGGTATATTCCAAACTTGATGAACAAGACCGGAGCTGCCATGAATGCTAATAGGAATACAGCCTTTCTCCATTCGTGTGTAAGTTACTTTGCATATCCTAATAGTGCATTCTCAGTGAGCAACGGGGTCAGTGTTAATCACTCCATGGCATTCCAACAGCAAGTGCACAGATCAGTACCACATTCCCCTTGGTCAGGTTATATCTTGTGTAGCCTGATTAGAGCTATGAAGTATATACATAGGAATATTAAAAAGATCCTAATAAATTAATAGAAATTAATTATAAAGGAGATGTAGGAGGGCTGGTATAACTTGTTAGTAATTTTTAATTAAAAAAATTCCGGAAATACTCTTTCCAGCTGGAAACTACTTACATGTCACATGTCACCACTGTTTTTGTAAGTCATTATATGATTTGGAAACACAGGGCTAGATTTACATTTAGATAGCTAGTGTCAGTTATCTAAATGTAAGTTTTAATTGCTTGAATGGCATGATTAGTTATGAGTCAGTAAGAGAATCACATAGAAATAAATATGCAGCCTGTCTGTCTCTGTTCCTTGCTTGGTACTTGGGAATGGTAGGAAAATTGCAGGAAATAGTAATGTTGACATAGATCTGCAGCTCCACTGTAGACCAAATAAAGTCATTAAGCTGTGACTGTAGGAAGCAGTAAGAGGAGTTACTTAAGAATGCTAGAAGTATGCAAGAAACAAATAATGCTAAATGTACATACACTGTGTAGTCTCTTCTCCAGTGGAAATATTTGCATGTATACGTTTAGCTGTAATGATAGAATTGTTTAGATTAGTGGAAAAGACCTTTAAGGTCATTAAGTCCAATCATTGATCCTCAAAACTAACCCAAACCCTTTTTAGTTAGCAAGGTTCCAATAAAAAGAATGGGTTAATAATGACCACAAAATTTAATTTTTTAGTTTAGTAGTGTTATGGTTTTAATGAGAATAAATGAAAAAAGGTCATTGGATTGAGACTATATTTTCCCTACTCTGTATTTCATATATTTACTATTTCCCTCTGGTTACTTGATGGGAATCAGTTACTTTTTAAAATGGATTTTATTTAAATTTATTATGTATTCAAAATAGAAATATACTGTGTGTGTCTTCCATAATGCAGCCAGTAGGGTGCATTGGTTGTTTGATGTTTAGTTTTCAAGAAACTGTAAAGAACTGCATATTTGCTTCTGATTTACATTTATTTTACATTCATTTATTTTTTATTTTATTATCTGATTTACATTTATTTATTTACTTTATTCTGCTCAAGTATCCTCTGAATGAGAAAATCTGTCAGTTATGGTAAAATCAGTATGCAAAAATGGAGTATAGATTCTTGAAAATTTTTTCAGAGGTGAGTATTATTCACAGGTGAATTTTACTGTAAGATTCTGCATTCCTTTTGGTATAACTCTATTGATAATTGTTTCTGTAGTGTAATAAGTGAAGTGGGTTTTTTGAAGGTCTTTTTTGTTTGTTTTGTTTCCTTGGGGTTTTTTGTTTGTTTGTTTGTTTGTGATTTTCAAAGGTTATCATATATTCCTTCCTGGTTTTGCAGGATGATTTTTGCTGTAATAAAGTGTAGGAATAGCTGTTACTTTTTGATATGTTTTCCCCTAATAAAGTAAAAAACCCTTTCAGTATTCATTTTGTTTTTTCTCTGAGGGAATTTTTGCACTGTCCTCAAGTCTTTACCGCATTTATTTTTAATTAATTAAACATTCAGAATTTGTTATCTTCTGTTCTCTGCTTTCTCTAGCTCTCAGTTTTTGGTAATTTGATTTGTTTGGATCCTTTGTGGGTTTCAGCATTGCTTTTAAAATGTGGACACCATTTATGCAACTTCAAATATCCTCCCTATTTGTACTACATACAAAAGTAAATGACTCTACCACCCCAACTGCTAGTCACTAATCTGCTGTTGATCAGTGTGTCTGAAGATTACAGTGGTTTTTGTTTTGGTTTTTTTCCCTGTCACAGAATCACATTGGACACTTATGGTGAGCCTTTTCTCTGTTTGAGTTTCTTCAGATTGAAATGGTCCAGAAGACCTATATTTTAGCTTTGAAGGTATTCAGCAGTGTTAACATGACTTATTTTAATGGAGCCACCTTACCAGGTGAGCTGTATCACTGTAATACTGTCACTTCCTTTCTGCTAATACTTACATCACAAACATCTAGTTGTGATTTTTGTATTTACAGGGAGAGAGTGTTGAGGAGCAGCAGATCTATTTTTACCCCTTGTTGAACTAAACTACATAATA